GACGGAGATTTATTGAGAGAGCCTTTGAGAACATAGCCATCTTCCTCATACTTGGCAAAATCATATTGTATAACACCTGGATGGTTGTCCTGGGGGATACCAACAGAAATATCGCCGAGACGAATGTCACAGGTGGGAGGGTTGGGGATACCAGCACCAATGCCGACCACCAATGCAAAGCGTACATCGAGAAACTGCTGGCTAACATTTGGAGCACATTGGGCGGCACTCACAGTGCCTGTTTGAGAGGGCCGAGCGATAACGAGACTGTGACCCCCTAGGCGACCAAAGGAATAGACATATTTCTGTGGACCTGCACCCATGGAACGACATCTGAATTCTTCGTCAAAACTATATTTCACTGCGACAACCTCATATGATAAAGCACAAAAGATGGCTACTGTGATAGCCTCTGGAGAGATTTCTCTGAACTCTAAGTCGGATTACTTGTCTGTGCTACTGCTCAGCGGAGGCTGGGAAGTGTGAGTCGGATGTACAACCCCTTCTGTATCTTGTTGGAGCATCTTGCACTTCGATCTCATTAATTGTCGAATTCGGTAATATTTTACTATGAAGGCTGGTGTAAGTGTAGTGCCCGGGGATATTTGAGTGGGGCAGAGTTGGGCAATGCGTGGATTTGTCGTTGAAATGCGCGAGGCTGAGGCTGAGCGGAAGACGTCTCAATAATCACCATGTTGCGACTAATGCATGGTCCAGCGTGTATCACCCTTAGTCTTAGTGCCCTCTGGGACAATAGCACTGTCTTCCATTATCTAGCCTTATCTCCCTAGAACCAATTGTGAACCATTAGACTGTTTTCAATGGGTATCGTAGAACTCCAAGACTTATTTTAAAGAGATGCTCATGCGTAGGTTTTAATCCTATTCAATTACTTAATTATATAAGGTGTTCTAGGCGCTGAGCTATCTTGAGTACTTAGTCTACTACCTAAATGTATAGAAGTTTTTGGTTGAACTCTCGACTAAGTAAATCTAGGATAGTTACTCTAAGTATACTAATCACACATTCACGGCCATAAAGGGCACACGTTTCGCACGCGAAATAACTGATGCTCTAGCTAGAACGCTACATCGGCATTATATGCTATGACTGTAAACGATAATCTATAGCTAGATCAAAAATCAGCGCAAGCAGTAGCTAATTATGTTTACGTTATACTCCATGATCTGATATGGGTTTTTTTGACAATGAGGTCTAAGGGGAAGTAGTAAGTGCGGAGCGCCGTCTTCTTGAGACATACTTCTCATATGCTTAACGGAGCTTAAAATGATCCCACTATGCGTTCCTCAGTGCATCTGGGTTGAAGGGCTGGGGGAGTTCTACACCTTAGAGTTCAGGATTGCGTTATGTTAGACTAAGGAACTATTAGGTTGTCAAGGATACCTATAATGAATTACTTAATTCGCGCAAACTAGAACAAAATAAGCCCCTTCGTGTCCCAACAGCGACAGGGTTCCGCCCATATCTGCAGCTAAGCCGCTATTCTATGCAGGTCAAGTTACATTTGCTTCGTACCGGCTCTACTAAAAGTTCCTACCCTTTACGCTTCTCAAGCAAGGGTCTAATTTAGCTTCAATACGATATTAGAGTAGGAAAATCTACTGTTGTGCCGATTATCCGTGTGATCCTTTGACTTTAAGAAAATAACGCGGAAAAACCTCTAGCTTTGTTAATCGGAATATACTGCCTCCTAGTAATACGCAGAGTAGGACAAGTCTAAGAGATAGACGTCAGCAATCCTTACCAGAGGCTTAAAGGGTTCATATTTCCTGCCAATTTGTCGGACCCCTGATTCCCCTTTGTTCTTCTGTACAACATTATAGTTCCACATCTTTTGTTCATACATTTGCACCCTCTCTCTCTCGGAAAATCCCGCCACCGAGACAATTATTAGAATCTCGCTACAATGTCAGGAGCATACATCCAAGCACGCATGGACCATGCGATATCCTCTCAGACACGCAAGGTCCTAAAAGCGCCCGATCGACCGATCGCAATCCGGAAGAATTACATTACCGACTCGAGGACACTCCTGACTCTCAGACCACAAGGAGACGCCCAGTCTGTAGCTGCTTACAAAGTACAGGGCGAAAACGGGGTCACTCAGTTTACGGCCAGTGGTCGGAAATACAACGGTCGCTCATGTCGAGAGTTCCGGGATGCTTCGGGCCTACCCTTGTTCGAGCTTCATAGGAAGCTCTCATTTAGAGATGCTTGGTGCATTACACTGCCGGGGGGTTCAACTGCTGAGAGTATAGCCACCGGTGCACCGCGACTGGCCCCGTTTGGGAACCTTGTGTTTACGTTTACGAATGTAGCTGTCACCGATATGAAGGGGTCAGTGGATGATATAAAGGTGACACTGGAAATTGAGAGGCATGGTCGTGTATTGGAGTCCTTTGATATTGTGGATAGAGACAGGAAAGTCGCGGAAGTGCGTGAGAGTGTACAGCACAACCCGAAACTTGCTTTGACGCCAAGTACACGGCGCAATTATCGACCGGTTCTTGATATCATCGTTACTCCTGGTGTGGACTTATCTTTGGTAAGATCTCTTCTGTAGGATTCTGCTATCATATAATTGTACTGACCAATGTAAGGTTACTGCCATCGCGATCATCGTCTCAGATACCGTATTTGGTTCTGAGTAGACTTGTGCTAGAGAGATAGGTTAATGAGCAATTTCTGTCAGTTAAACGCGGTCAAATTTATTGATTGGTATATCGCTATATTACAATTATGTATCCGATTATGCTCCCCACCTCAAATGTCGTTCATGTTCTTCGCGTAGAATATTTACATCGTTTTTCTCAAATGCAAAATTCCACAACTTCTCAGGGATAGTACGGATGCCCTTTTGCGGGACAGGACTATTCGTTTTAGAGCTCTTGCTCCCAACATGCTGCAACACACTGGGTGTCAATGCCCATCGTATCTCGTCGTTCTGGTTCGCATAATCTTCCGTGAGCATGTCGACATAGCCGATGCGTTTTGACTCGTACCAGGATATCAGATCCTTGATACGGCCGTGTGGAAAGACGAACCCTTGGGAGCAGCAGCCGAATTTAGGCATCTCGTGCACCCCTTCCGAGATTGGTAGCATTGTGACTCGGCCGGCGGCAAAGAAGAGGATGATCAGGAGAGGCGTACAGACGAAAGTAAGAACAAAGATTGTTTCTCTTGGGAGGTATGGCTTTGACAAGGGTCGATAACGGCGGACGATCAAGGTTGTGAGTAAGACTGTGGATGCTGAGAGTAGAGAGTAGAATAGATAGATTGGCCATTCCTCTGAATTCCAGCCCAGGAAGTTTTCGGTGTAGAAAAGTCGAAGATAAAGCCCTTTTGAAATGCAACTCGTGTTAGTTTCACTCCCAATAACTGCTTCAGCGGCAGATGGTTTTGCTTCAGAACTCACACTTCGATGCTTTCTTCTCTGCTGTTTGCCGCTCAACAGTACCCACTGCCTCCTTCGTTCTATGGTACCAACCATCTAGAGCGATGATATCATCTTCTAACATAACAGTGTATGGAGTACCGATAGCTGTACATGCTTTCAGAAGATAAGTGTAGTCCAGTAAACCTTTCTCGAGAGCTAGGGTTCTAGCCTCGGCTGTTTCAAGACTTCGGATGTGGTCGATGTCGACGTCTTTCTCATCATAGAGTAGAACTTTATCAGCCAGCTCATGGATCCATGGCTCCGAGTAGGCCGGGTGCTGTGTGGGATCCGTATGGGCAATGAAAAGAATGAGAAATATATCACCTCTCTCTACAGGATCAAGGCCCGCCAACACCGATCCGACCGCACTCTGGAAGTAGCTTACACCCTCTCGTGCAACAGACGCAAACCCTACACACATGGTAGGGCTAGGGGATGCCTTGACGCGGGCAGCCTCCGTCACATTGTTAGCTTCTTCGATCAATTCTAAACCCTGCGCTGCACGCAGACTAGAATACGAAGGCTCGTAGGCTTCATTTTCTCGGAAGAAAACTGATGTTGGGTCTCTCCAACTAGTCAGGCGCGCAAAGTATACCAGAAGTGCATAAGGAATCAAAAAGATCAGGAACACACGGCATGTATAAGACTCAAGGAGGGAGGGCAGCCTCGGAAGCCTTAGCGATATGTGCATTTTCCCAGTGAAAATAGCCAAGGAGTCGGGAATATGAAAGAAGAATGTAAGAGATCGGTCGCATTTGAAAGGATTATTTACTAAATCATAACGAGCATTGCTTATCCAGCTATGCCCAAACCTATTTAGCTAGAGAGTACACAAATCAGGCTTTTTCTCTTCTCCTAGTCTTCTTTTAGTTAGTTTTTATGTGGAAATTTCTATTTGATATTTTCCGTCCAGGGACTAAAAGAGGGACGTCCTCTAATATCTATCGAGATATGGCACTAGAGCTTGATCCCTGTTAAGGGTTCAATCGGTTAATTAATTCGGTCATGGCGGCCTATCATAAAACACAGAGTGACACACGATCTACTAGAGTCTTACCCTGCAGCGTAACGGGAGTCTAAGATGGGTAGGCTGTGTTCCTCTAGCTTCCAAGTGGAGCAAGGATGACAGGTGGTCAGCCCTGAGCACGGCCATAGTAGACTGTATCATGTTGTCTCCAACGTTGATGAGGCTCAAGCTATGCGAGACTCGGCTATGGCATTCTTGGCTTGCCTTACCTCGGATAAATCATTTTAATAACTCCACATGGAAGGCGTATGGACCTCACCATGGGCCCACAAGTTCGTAGGCTTAGGTTTTGGGCCTCCTGGGATGCAAACCCACAAAAAGCTCGCCAAAAACCTGTCTAAAGATAGAATTGTAAATCATACATACCAAGTTATCCAATTTGGTTTATTCATCCTAAGAATGGTGTTTATGGATATGCATAATGTGTGTTACAAAGCCCAGATAAACGAGCGTAGGCACTATTCCTATTATGTTATAGTTATGCATGCTATCATACATAAAGAATTTCACAATTACAGCCGCCTGGCGAAATGGAATCGCGTCTGGCTCTTACCAGAAGATTGCAGGTTCGACCCCTGCGGTGGTCTTTTGTTTCATTCTAGTCGTGTACCTTTATGCTCCTCTCTTCATTTTGTCTATATTCCTTTTTCTTTCTTTCTCTTTGTTTTTTTCCTTTGTTTTTGTTTTCCTATTTGGATAATTGAATTTACTGTCAAGAGTTGCTATGTAAAAATAGAATAAAGACGCCGAAATTGTTGCTAGACTGAAGCAGCACAACCATAGACTAAGTCACGAGATATGTCTAAAAGCTGAACATAAACTCCAACAAAACTATCCACTAGTGGTGTCCAAGAGGCAGTAGAGTTGATCGTGAAATCTGAATAACCACGTCCGCAACATTAATAGGCGTCCAAAATGCCACCACACTGCTACGCCACAGACTTGGTTGAAGAGGCCAAGGACACATTTTATCTGCGACATATCGACAGGGTCCCAAGGACCGATATAGTGCAGTAGTTCATCAAATGCTGCACAGAGTATATCATTTTGCTCAAGTCGTCGGACAATCTTCCGTCGCTCATCAGATTGCAACCTCATATACCACGTTTTCGCTTGGGTACCGTTATTCTGACGTTTATATTGCCGATAGATACGGAAAACGTCGCCTTCCTGGAAGCCCTGGGCATCTGGTGAGTCCTCGCGAAGCTGTGTTTTGGCTTCCAGGGAAATGTCTAGTTAACATCATCAATCAGAATGTATTGCAGTGTGGTCAGGAGGCGTGTGGCCCACGATGCTTTCCATAGAGACAGAGCAGGAGCGTATTGTCTGGAAGCCTCAGGCTCGGTGGGTTCGTAGTATCCATCAGGTCGGTTCCTGCAATGTGTGACAATTCAAGGCTGGTGCGTAGAATCTCATCACTGATGATCGCCGCAATGTGATGGTCCGGCTCAAGAGGCTGGCAGCCGACCTCGTCGAAAATTGCCGGTAGTCGCTCAACGTTTTTCTGATCAAATGGCTTCGACCACAATGTGCCCTGCTCTTCGAAGGTCAAATGTCGAGTCTTGATTCCAGCATACCCCCGGTAGCTGCGAAGCCCTTGCTGAGTTGTTAAGTCTGCTTGGACACCCAACCCGCTGTCCACCGTGAAAGGCTGGATTTCTTTGAATGCTAGATGAAGCAAAAGCTGTTCAGTGGGCCGGTATTGGGATGACTGCTGTTCTGGATAAAGTTGAGATTTCGGCTCCATAGGGGAGTATTCATCAAGAAGTGGCTTTTACATATGGACTCCAGTGACGGATCCTTTGTGCCGTTGCCCTGATAAAACGATGCTTCGACATGGGCCATGGCACCTATCAATGCAATCGCCCTTTGGGGGTAAAAACCCATACTAGTGTTCTTACATGTTAGTGTGTAATTAATATAGGGTGTAAAGTACTGCGTGTAGGTTAATTATTTATACAAGTACCGTTATCATCACGGGTGCCATTGCCCTGAGCGGATTCAGCTTGCAGGCCCGGAGCGAGAGAAATACAGACCGTGTCCGCGGGAATCTGCGAAAGGCGCGTGCGGTACTCCGGTATCTGGCAAGGTATCCACGATTGCGAAAGATTCTGTAGAAGAATCTGATAGAGTGAGTCCACTGCGCGTCAGTATGAGTGCGAAGTAGTCGCATAGAGACGTCGATACACCAAGAGGCCTAGTCCTAGACCTGACCCTCGTAGGAGACAATAGGATGTAGAAACAAGCCCCGCGTGGGGATACCTGAATAATGCCATGAGTGTTGTTCCAAATCTCATGTTCTCTGAAGGAGATACGTTAGGTTCTCATGTCGATGCTCAACCCATACCGCTTTCACCAGCTGAGCTGCAATGAGACAAACTAGAAGACAAGTTTGATTACCGTTTTGTGGGGGGCCTTATGTATCCATAAAGGTGATATCTTCTTGGAGCAGACAAAGGAAAAGCGGGAAGTCCTCGGAGACTGTCCAGAAGAACAGACGGTGGAAAGATTAGTGAGCAAAACGCAGGCTTTAAGGATGCAGGATAGAACCACCCCTCAGTAGGCCCTAAAACAGGGGGCCCGGGGTCAAGGTGTATGGTACTAGCGGATGAGGTTATAGTAGGAGTACAGATCATGTAATACTAACTAGTAGCTGAAAAAGGCGTCGTTCAACGCCAAAGGTGGTTGCCATTTGGTAAATGCAAAATTGTTATTGCGGAACAGCGGAAGACCTAGGGTGACGAAGTAAGGGTAGACCAAAATATAGTGGTCGCCCAGCCCCGCATACGCTTTCCATACAAGTAGAATCCTACCGTCATCAAACTAAGGATGCCACACACAATGGCAAAAATATTCATGCCTCCGTCGTATCCAAGTGTCTCTGTCAAAGGGACAGTCGAATAGCTGAGGCCAAAAGAGATAAACCCGCGACCGACGCAGATGACCATCAGCAGGGCGCCAGCATGGTCGGGAAAGGCATCTATGGCGTAAGAAATGGCAATGATGTTCACACCCATGAAGGCAAAGAAGCCCATGTGGTATGGGGCCACAATGGCCATCCAGTGCCAATCTGAAGGGGCTGCACCAGCATATCCGAATAGGACGCAAGAGACAATGACGATAGCGGCGGGAATGACCATTGCTAGGAGTCTGTATTCGGGCTGTATGGAATACACTAGATCAGTTTCCGGAGCAGACAGATAGAATGTGTTTTCGCGAACAGCTGAGCTAGTTGAAGAGGTTAATGGGTGCTATTGTACCTCAAAGACGCCCTTCCTCCACTGACTCATCTTCTTGGCGATGAAATCAGTGCCGTAGCCCATGACTGGGACGAATATGAGACAGTCCACGGCTTGCACAAGTTGAACGAAGCCAAGAGACGCATTGGAGAAGCTGTATGGTGGCGGGGTGAGGATGGCGCTAAATGTCGAGGATTGGTACACGTAGACACCCAGGAAGGCGCCGTTCACAAGCAGAAGCCAGAATATTGGTAGAATACAGATACCTTGCGCAGTTTCCTTGTAGAAACTGACCAGTCTCCGCCAATCCATCCTACCGTGCACTAGCCTCAGGTCATGCTTCCAAGTTCGAGGTCCGAATACGTCTGGCTCCAGCCTACGTGTATGTTGAAAACAGGGAGTATCAGGACGTGTAACGGCATCTATAAACAAAAGTTGCGTGAGTCAAAGGGAGATGAGGGTAAAGGTGCATCCAATGCACTTACTAGAGCGGTCGAACATTGTCTCGACAACAAGGAAGTACGCAGCGATTAGGGTAGCAAAGTTGACAATTGCTACAACGATGTACCACCATTTGAGACCCATGTCCGGCACGATGTACACCGTCGCAACGAACATGCCGGCGGCGACGATGTTTTGGATCCCCACAAACCAACCCTGTTTACTGCTGCGCTCGTGCAGAAAATGAATATCTTGTATAATAAGCGGCGCTAAAGCCTCGCTCTGGCCGGCGGCCATACTCAGCAAGTTTCTGCCTCCGATATGGCTAGAAAGGGAGGTGGAAAAGGCACACCATAAGCCTGTGCCAATGGACAAGAGTAGGGAAAAGAGGAAGACCGGCCGTCGACCAAGAGTGAGGGTTAGGGGCATGGATATGAAGTTTCCGATGCCCATAAATAAGGTGGGATAAGTCATGAGGTCCGTGACGTCTGCTGGGTCGTTGTTGGGATACTCCTGCACAACCTGAGGAAAGACCGCTCCCAGTCCGGATGTCGACAGAACCGCCATTGAGCCATATGCAGCCACAATGACAATGATAGAGTACTTCTGCCAGGTAGGGAGATTGAGAGGGTCTGATTCGGTGTTAGCAGTTTCCATCAATCGCTTTGGCGTCTGCTCACCTTTGGGGTCGCCGCTAGGGGTTGGGATGAGCACAATTTCACTGTGATCGAACAGCTGGACGGTACCAGTTTCTTGGTCACTTCCCGGGACAATGTTTTCGTCATGGGCCACCTCTGCCTTGGACGGGACCTTGTCTGCACTTAGAATACTAGCCATTTTCTACGCCCTGCACGGCAAGGGAAGGGATAGAGAAGAGATTGAGGAACAAAAATGCTTGTTTCATAGCAACAAGAGGGCAGAAGCTGTGAAGATATAGCCGCATAGGATGGATATGGCAAAGAGACATCATCGTCACATCCCGCTTGGACAGCTCCCATCAGTTACAAAATGTGGAGGCCCCCCACATTCCGCGCAACCCCCGCAGCTTCCCCAGATAATTGCCGTCGGGATCTGGTAACTCTTCCCCAGATTTCATTTTCCGTTTCCTCTACACCCCAGATCAACTATTACCATAACCAGCCGACATGTCAACAGGGATACCGGATTCCCAGAAGGCTCATTTGCCCCAGGTTCCATCTTCAATACAAGTCACTGCCCCGCGTCGCAAAAAGCGGCGGATAAATTATGCCTGCAACTATTGTCGCGCGCGCAAAACCCGCTGTGATGAAAGGAAGCCCTCGTGCTCTGCATGTCAGAATGCTGGCGTCGACTGCATCACCATCAACCTGCGCCGACCCGAGCTGCAGGTCGACCGTCAAGAGGCCGGTAGAAATTCAAGGCTTGACAGTCCTCATGCGCTCCCGGGCGCGAATGGTTGCTCCACCAGGAGTCGAGGCCCTAATTTCCACAGCGCGACTCAAGCCCAAGAATTCCCGATCGGCCGAACCGACCTCGAATCGCCAAGAGGATCAGAACACCAGGCCGAGACGAACTCCTCATCCCAGTCAGATCACCCAGAAAACCCGTCTACGCTGAGCATCTTTCGGCAAGATAGGGGTAGCACTTACTGTGAGATACTGCTGGGATGGATTGACAGGGCAGTTCACCGCCTCGATGTTTCTGGAGCCTGGCCTGCATACACACATCCGCCTCCCAGCCCAGTAGCTTCTTACGCATTCATAGGCTTCGGACTATGTCCTCTGCCTAGCCCGAAGACCACGCAGCACGCGGTAAATCTATTTCTCACAGGCCCGAATGTGCTCTTTCCTGTGTTATGTAAGGATTCGGCCCTGCGACTGGTCAGCATAGCTCAGTCTGTCGGGCCGGCCAACCTCATCCAAGAGGCA